TCATTAGGGCATCTCAGCCCACGGGCCTGCTTTGGCAATACATGTGCATCAGAGTCTGGCCTAATGTGTTCTTGCAGCTTGTTGGTTTAGGAGGGTCTGTAAGTTGGTGCATTAGTTCAAATCAATCAGTTGTTACTTTTTCATTAAATACAGTGTGAGTTTCAAAATACAGAAAGTATTGATGGGTTGCTCAAGTGATTTAGGGAGGATTAAAAGGCGAAGGTGCTTATCCCTATTTACTGTATTATTGTTCCCTGAAAAAATTTCAACACTCTTGTCTAGCCTCTGATAAATATCACTTAAGGTCCAGTGAACTATTGGACTGAGGAAAATCCTGTTCTCCTTGTACAGGAATTACCTCTGAGAGTTCAGGCTGATGTTGCAATGTCTTGTCTGTCTTGTTTTGTGCATGCTGTGTAGCTTGTGTTTGTCCTGTATTCAGTCATATTTATGACCAGTTTGTTCATGTCTCTGTATCAGTGTTACAGGTGCCCAATCCATTAATAGGAGATAAATAAGGAAAATACAGTATACTTGAATAATATATGATACTTAAATATGTTAAAACTGTCATGTTCTGATAAATATTTTAAACTAATGGATGATAATATCGAGTTGTAAATGTTGACTGAGTTTACCTAACAGCTGGATCTGTTCCAATGCAATAGATCACGGTATATTTTAAGCCTCCAGATCTTTGTCTGAGTACACAGAATAAAATAAAGTTTTCTATTTCAGGCTTTCTTTATAAAAACTCTACAATTGGACATAATTTTAATTTACTCTTAAGATGCTCTTTCCTTCTGCTTTAATAACTTTGTAATTCTGTTGACTTTCCCTTCTAATACCACTACTCACATCCCCAGCATTTCTTTAGGGACTCTTTCTTTTAGGTCTTGCAATTCTCCTCTTGACTGTTCTTAGGTGTTCTATCCATGAGATTGGTTTAATGGTGTTGACTCTTATATCTCACTTTCTGTCTTAATGAAACAAAGTTTAGTTGCTGGGTGGTGCAAGACAAAGAAGTGCAGCTCTTCCTAGAAAGAATTTACACATCCCATTCAAGTACCATGACAAGTGTTTGGTATTTGGAGGCTCTGTAAGGTGCATTAGCGAGAAAGAAATAGATATTTGTTGATGAGATGGACAAGAATTGAATTTTCTTGCAGTTGCCACAAGATAAGGTGACAGTCTGGAGATTGAGGGAGTTTGAGAGAAAAGATCTCAAGGTTTCAGAAGGAGGCAAAACCACAGAGCTGGTAACAGCAACAGGATGGAAACAAGCAGGAGAGAGCTTGAAAAGAAGTGCAAGACCATGTGAGTCCTGAGCCAATGGATAATTTCAGGATGATTCACATTGCATGTGGGGCCTTACATGCTGATTCAGATCATTAGAAATTGCAGTGGGTATGTGAAATGCAAGCTGCACACCCAGCACAGTCTGCAGGGAACTTCATAGATCGTGCCAGGATGGGGAGAGATCAGGTGCCCTTCCTGTGCCTGTGAAATGCCGGGGATGGAGGTGGGGTGGCCGAAGGGCTGAGCTCCTGAGCAGCCCCTGTGACTGCCTGAGCCAGGGGGTTCATCCCTCCTGGCTGTTATGGCACTGTGGCAATGCTGCCCAGCCCCTGGGATGGCCTAAGAGCACATGATTCCCCTCAACTCACTCACAGACTTGATAAATTACAAACTGTAGCTTGGGCCCTGTAGCTTTTCCCTTCTCAGTTTTGGAATAGGCAGGAGCAATGAATGCAGTGGGGTGGGGGAGGTAAGAGAGAATGAATTGATAGGGAAAAGGGTGACTCTGTGGCCCAGGGTTGCTAAAGTCACAGTTTTACTGTTAGCAGAGCTGTTTTGAAAGGAATGAGTGGGTCATTGATGTAAATGATATTTCTAAGTAGGTTGCCAGTTGTGTTTGACTGCTTAATGTGGGCATGAAGTTTATGGAAATACTGGTAGTAGTGTGGAGTCCTAATGATGCAAGTCAGGTCAAGAGTTAAGTGCTAAGGTAAGTCTGTTTGGGCACTTCTAGAGAAGGCTGGGAGAGAGAGCCTGAAGGATGTACCTGAATAGTGCTGAGGAAAATCATGAAGAAATCTGAGAGGGGAGTTGTGCAAAAGCCAGATTTGGGAGTAAGTTGCTGAGTTGGCAGCGAGCTGGAATGCTAAAGTCTGCACACACAGCAAGGATGAGGTGGAGTATAGGCCTTGGGTATTGACCAAAGAAAACATAGGAACATCTTGGTGATAATTTTATGCTGGAGTCAGTCCAGAAATGAGTTGGATTCCTGAGTCAGTCCATGGAATTTGAGAGTCTTTGGCTTGAACTGACTTGTTTCTGACTATTCTGACCAGACAATTCTGGCCACCACTCAGACCTGGAGTTCAGTATTGTGTTTGACCTATCTTACTTCTCCTCTCCTCCTCCTTACCTTACGTTCAACCCAAAGTCAAAATCTATTGCTCTGTCACCTGCTAGTTGTTCTCTTGCTTTGGGCTGCTCCTTGAAGCAAAGATGCTTTCAAGTCTTGGATTTTGGGGCTTTGGACTTTTTTTATTTAATGGAGTAATAATATAATTCCTTAAAGTTATTCATATTTTCCCTGGTTTTCTGTGACAAATCCCCTCAAGGGTTAATCAAATCAGGTTCACTCCTGGTCTGGTGCTAATGGTGTAAGATGATGTGTACTCAAGTTCTTATTCAGTAAATAAACTTTTTTTATATAGTAAATTACTCTGATGGGATGTGTCATCTGTGTCAGGCCACTTATTTCAGCCCTTGGACTGCAGTAGCTGCTGAGACAACAATTTGGGCACGTGTCTGGAGGTGCAGCATTCGTGCTCCATCCTGACTCTGCTTTCCTTCAGCAGTGGCCTCACAGGGTGCTCTGCTGCATGTGGGGAGCAGGACTGTGCTGAAACAGCCTCTCCTTTTACCCACTGCTGAATTTATTTCTCCTGGAATGTATTCTGTCTGTGTGGCTGTGCCTGTGAGTTCCCAACGTTCTAAAGATCCACCCAAAAGTGTTCTATAAGATTGCCAGGCTGATCATTCTGTAATCTGCATAGTCCAACCACACCATTCTGGTTTACTGCTAGACTGGGACTTGGAGTATGTGATGGTACAGAACCACATTGTCTGCAGAAGGGAAAGCATATTTTAAAAATCTGGTGTCATTCTTCAGAGGGACTAAGAGATTGATTTAATGGGTTCTGTGTACTATGTAAACATGTCCCAGTGAGGCAGGGAGTGCTGCTGTGGATGGGTCAGTCTGCTGGTCCTTGGGGCACTCTCACCAAACTACAAAATGTCTTTTTGGAGTTCAGTTTTGTGTTTGGGAAGGGGAGGAAGCTGTTTGTCAAGGTGTTCTTCTTTGTATTCTCTGTTAGATTTTAAGGTGTCCATGCTCATTTTTGCCTTTAGACCATTGTAGTTAAAATACCTTAGGGAGTTTGTGTCTTCATAGCCAATGTGAAGAATAAACAAATAGAAGTTTAATTTTTACTTACACAAACTCTGATTGTACCTAATACTAGTAAACATAATAGTTGAGGGTCACAGTTTATTTTGTGTCTTAGAACCTTTGTGTCATAGAGTGAATATAACTTAAGGTAAATGGCTATGAAACACAAGAGTTTGGTCTTGCTTTTGGATGACAGATAATTTGATCACTTCTTTGGAAGCAGAAATATTTTGTGTTTGATGTAAAAACCAGACCAAGCAGCTGATGGGGTTGATTCCTTTCAATAACAAGAATTGCTGTGTGTCAGGGCAAACCCCTCCCCTGATAACACAGCTGTGCTTGGCTTCGGGTTTCTTTGTGCTGCACTGATTAGTGGTATGAATATTATATCCTTCTATGCATGGCAGGAGAACAGAATATTAATAGAGAAGATCCACTTGAAAGTCCTAAAAGAACAGTTTATCTTTCTGAAGTGGAATTTATTAGCAGGACTGAAGCTATTGAACCAGTGAAGACATAGCTGACCTCATTTAGTCATGTTAATATCATCATCATATCATCGTCATGCTAATAAACAAAGTTGTAATTAAATATGAAAATCAAGATATGTTCTAAGATTTTGTAAAAATGCCACAAGCTTTGTGTTTCTGTGAGTTGCAAACTGAAATGATCTTAGCTTTTGATGGGATGGATAGTTTTACATGCACTTTAAACTAAAAGAGAAAGAAGGCAAATACCTGATTTTGAGGAAGATGGATGATGACAGCACTCCTGTATTCTGTAACTGTTCAGCTGAAAACACTGTATGGCGTTTGCATTTTAGCTCTGCCAAGTAAAAACTGATCATTGTGTCAATGAGATGTGGTAACTGAAGTCATGGAGACCAAAATAAATTTCACTTGATGTTATATCTTCTTGGTTTTTTGTTTTATTTATGCATTTGTTTTGCTTCATATTTTTCATAGTTCTGTGCATTTTAGTTTCAATGTTTTATAACATCTAGTATATTTTTGGGAGGCTGACAATACTGTACTGTGGTTTTCATTACTGTACCTTGAGTATTTTATCTTTCTCCTTTAGCAGGATGAGAATATTTCTACTAATCATGTAGCACACATACTGAAAAAGTTTTACAGTGGTGTTTTTGAAGGGGATGTTAATGTTTGTTCACAACATAGGTTTTAGGATACAGAGTTAACAAGTGACTGGGGAGAGTGCCTGGAAAATTTGACCCAAGTATTTAGAAGTGGTCTTTCTCGCATATCAGTGTAGTATAATGACTGCCAGGAAAAATGAATGTATTCTGAGCTTTCCTTTATTTCAGTTTAACTGTTCTATGGAAGTAATTCACTTTAGTAAAAGTCCCCTGAATTTGATAGCTAATCCACAAATTAAAGCAGTTTGTGAATATTTAGAGGTATTTGGTTCTTGCTGAGCAATAAAATTAAACATGTTTTATTCCTATGGTATTTAGGTCTTTCTCCTTCTTTTTACATCCCAGTCAAAGTAAATGTCTTTGCTTCATTTTTCTTCATAGATTGAAATGCTAAGGAAGAAAGTAAAAGAAAAGGAATTATTTATAGTACAGCTTTTAGAAAAAATCTCTTTCTTAGAATGTGAGGTAAGGCATTACCTTTTATATTGTTGTGATTATTTTATGAAACCAAATAAAATTTGAACCAATGTCATCCGGTGTTATCTGCATGCATATTTACATATTTACTTGCATATTTATATATTTACATTTACATTTGATGTATATGTATTTGTATTTTCAAATGAAAATTAAACTTACGACACCAGTCACATGAGGAATGCATGTAATAAATTCTCAATATTCATGCTAAGTTTCTTAACTTAAAATTTTATAATGGTATTATAATGACTTAAACCAGAAGCTTCTGAATAAAATTGTTGGTTTAATTTATATTTTTTTCCCAGAACTAAGGATTCTTTCATTTTTTCAGTCAATACTTTTACATTATTTCTTGTGGGGTGAAGGCAATGAGCAATTTTATTTCCTTGTTTCCATAACATAATTTAAATAAAATAAACTTGGGATGAAAATTACTATTTTCCAGAATAAAGAATTACAAGATAAACTGGACTACTTAATGGAAAACCAACCAAAGACCAATATAGAGACCAGAGATACTGGTGTAGAATGTGACCTTCCATACAGGTATTTGTTTTTCTGGCTTGCTCGTAGGAAAATTCCCCATAATGTCCCTTATTGGTGCTATATTAGTAAACCCAAACGTTCCCACTTCTGCACCAGAGCATTGTTTCTGCTCTGTGGTGGCCAGTGGCTCTGCAGCTTCGCTTTGTAAAGATCAGGAATTGTGCCTCTCCTTCTCCTCCCCTTCCTCTGCCCTGGGCACTGCTCAGGGTTGCACTGAGCCCTGGGAACACGGCTCTGGGCTTGCACTTGAATCTTCATCCCAAAGTCACCACAGGGAAGGGCCAAACAGAAAACAAAACACTAAGCTAATCAGGACCACTGCATGTTACTTGAAGTACCAACAAGTAAAGCTGTTCTTAACTGCCCTGCAAGTTGAATCATTTAATTGGAGGAGTCTAAATCACCACATGGAATCAGCAAGCTGCTATGAAATCGGCAAGCGAAGTAAAATTTCCTTGATAATTTAAAAATGTACTCATTTCAGAGTTTGGCCTAAAGCATAATTTAATGGCATGTTTTTTGAAACCTTAAAACAGTGTTTTTCACTCAGGGTGTCAACAAAGATAGGTCTTCTCTGTGGCCTCTCTATATGTAAGCACAGCCCCTACTTATCAGACATTTTTTCAATTTTTAAGGTTTATGTCTGTGAAAATATACCTCTGTACAGTTCAAATTTCATGGGATTACTTTTCATAATTAATTATCTTCTTAAATGTAACATTGCTGGTTTTTTTGTTGCAGAATCCTTTTATTATCTTGTTAAATGTAATATTGCTGTCTTTTTTGTTGCAGGATCATTTAATTATCTTCTTAAACACTATATTGCTGTGGTTTTTTGTTGTGGGATCCTTAGTCCTAGTAATTTTATTGCTGGACATTCCACTATGAGCTCCAGCAAATGCCTGCATGTCAATGTGCCAGTACGTGCCACAGTTTTTATCAAATATTCTTTGTTGCATTATAGAAAAGAAATATGAAACATATCAAGTACACTAATTAATTTTAGCCTCTCAGTATCCAAACAGGGCACAAGTTCATTGCCATGGCATTTTGAGCCCAGCTGTCTGATACTCTGATGTTAAATCTCTAAGGTTTTTCTTGTCTCCTTAACAGTCCAAGTCCTGAGAACAGATCTCCTGAGAGCCCGAGGCCAGTGAGGACGTACACCCCGTTCAAGAGAGTGCTGGAATTCAGCGCAAAGAACAGCACATCTTGAGCAGTCAAGTCATTGTGCTCTCTGAATAGGAGCAGATAACTTGCGCCTTTGCAGCTTGATTAGATAAATTGTTATCAATTCATAGAGAAGAACAGCAGCGTGGAGTCTTGCTAAATTTATCCTGAAAGCAGCTTTTTAGTAACTTTGTCTCTGAAGTTACTACTGGCGTTGACTGTGAGGGGGATATGGAAGAAGCGGGGTAAGTGAAGCAGCAAATGTTGCTTCTTCAGAAGCTGCCCAGTGCAGTGTGTCATTCCAAATGCCTGCAAGGAAGGATTTGTACAGCTGTACAGTTTTTGTTTTCTTCAATTGTGTCGTAATTCTGTCTGTGTGATGAAGCTCTAATCTATTGTGTTGCCAGTACGACCTGAAGTGATGCTGGCAGAGGGCATTAGTGTGGGAGCTCCCCATGTGCCCCTGTACAAACTGGGAGGGCAGATCACACCTGTCAGAGACCTGGCATAGTCGAGGGCTCTCTTCACCTGGGGGCAGCTCCCTTGTACCCAGCACTCTTTGCTGGGAGGGAGAGACACAACTGTGCTGTTCCAACCAATTCCCTCCACACATGAAGGTGAATGTTGTGTTTGTTGCTCGAAACAGTAACTGACAGAGCAGATTATAATGGAATTTGCTTTGTTGGACTGAGGCAGTGGTTTGCACTTCCTCAGTCGTGGGACAGAGTGGCCATTGGTGGTACATTCAATAGTAATTGTGTAGGAAAACCCCTGACACCTTATTTATTTACTTTTCCATTAGAGGAAGCAGTTTTCATTAAACAGAATTTTGCCTATTGCAACCTGCAGCAGTCCCTGCAATTCTTACAGCAACAGCAATCCTGAATCAGGATTTTGGGTTTTGAGTATTTTTTTTCCCAAAGCACTTAAAATCTTATCCTTGGCTTCATGTAGCAGTAGGAATGACTGCATCTAGTACTGAACTTGTTTAAATATATAGGGGATTTCTTTACATCTTGTTTTGATCTCCCAGTCTCAGTGAACTTGAATTTTGAATATTTTGTTGTAGTTCTCTTAATATAAATGAAGGATTTTTTTTTAATTACAGTAACTACAGAAAACAAACAACTTTTGTTTTCTATGATCAATACTGTTCTTGCATTCAGCCAGTCCCGGGGGGTATTGACCTTGCCACAGGGCTCCACAAAGGGATTGCTTTTATCTCCAGGCTAATGCAAGTTCTTAAATGCAGTCCTGTCTATTCAAATCAAGTACACTTACTAAAGCTGTATTTAAAATAATAATATTGACCTCATACTGAACCCACAAGATGATGAGTAGTGACTCAACTCCAGTGTCAGGGATAAGATTTGTGCCTGTGGAATTGTATCTCCATCTAGTGGCTGATAACAGCAAATATTTGGACAGTATCTGTTATGGAAGCAGAAGACATTAAAAACTAATCCCAGCTGGTATATTAATGGTCACTCGGGATGGAGCTTTAGGTTGTTACATAATGTCTTTTAGCATTTTCGTGCCCAAATAGTCCTTTTATATTTCAGGAATTTAATTGTGAACCAGGGTTTGTAAAAGTTACCTTCAAACTGAAGGTAAATGGATGAAGGTGATATTTTTAGATAAAAGGAAATGCATGTTGTTGTAAAAGAGAATAACAAGTTTAAATAAGTGAAAATCCTTTATCCTTCTAGTTTTGGCCAGAATTCAGAAAACAGAACCTGACGACTGTGAGGTGCTCAGTGAATGGTAGGAGAGGACAGGATACGTATCAAAATGTCAAAATGCTGTTTTGACACAGACTTCAAAAGGAAGTTCATTCTGTTTTGATAGAGGATCTCCTCTGAAAATAATACAAGCTATTCTAATTCTGAGACTTGCAAAATTATGATAATCTACTTGAGACTTTACCAAGACTGCAGCAAGGCCTTAAGTTTTTACTGTAAAAGTTTTCTGTGTAAATTCTGTCTTGACTGTTTGATGAAATATGGTATTTTTTTCTAAACCAACTAAGGACTGAAGCCTATGATGTATTTTAAGAGCAGTGAACTGGGTGACCATCATTTCATTGTACTACTGGTCTAAATTTGGTAACTCTGAAGAACAGGAGAGGAACCATATTTATATGATTGTGTTACATGAAAATATAGAGCTTTCTAGTGAAATCGGCAGCAGTGTAAATTAGCATAGATAATAACAAATCTGACTGAAAAGACTGTAACACTTCTGTATAAATTTTGTTGATTTGAGATTGAGTTAATTAGTACTATAATTTCAGAAACTAGTAAAATTTCTGTAAACAGCAATAAAAGCCATATAGAAAGGTCCCAGAAAGTGCACTAAATGTAAGTCAATTGTATGACTACATTTGTACCATGATAAGTATTCTTTTGTGATTTATTCCAGATACTCTGGAAAGTATTTTGGGATACAGTTTTCATATATGCTGTATAAATAATGCATTACGTTGTATGCTTTTAATACATCCTGTATGTAGGACGTGAAAAGGATAAATTGCAATAAATACTGTATTTAAACTTGCTATTCTGTTGTGTCAACGGTCATTTAGAAAGAAATCTGCCTTAAAAGGTTGCCAACTGTTACTCTGCACAACTTTGTTCAAAACACGTGTGGATGCAAAGCGGCTCCTCTGGAGCCTCGATGTTCCTGTTGGTGTTTCCTTTGGCAGATGGGCTCTTGAGAACAGGAAGGCACTCCCTGGCTACAGACTCCTTCTCAAAGCCAAGTAACAAAAGTAGATGAATTCTTTCATAAAATAAAGAACTATTGACTTGCACAGGATAAACAAGAACTGGGCAGCACAGCTCTTGCGAAAAAAACCCAACCCAGCAGCTTCAGATCCTGCAGAAAACACCTGAATACATTGGGATGATGCTCTCCAGGCTTCAGCAGTATAAGGGTGGGATGGCTGTGGCCAATCTTTATTTATACTCTCTGAAATAGAGATTTGTTTTTAAGACTGTCACAATAAAGCAATCTGCATGTCAACTAAATAAGAGGTCATGCAAACATTACAGTCACAACGTTGCAGGTTTGCAGTGCTCAGATGAAGAATGTGAAGTTTTTTGCTCAAGTAATGCTTCCCTTGGTATGTGTATTCAGTACAGATTGTCAACAGGACCTCATAAAGTCCTGTGGAGACCAGCAGTGCTCGGTGCTGAACCTACAACATGGAGCTGTAGGAGTTGGATGCTTTTCAGAGAGCTTTAAATACTTGTTTTGACATCTGAAGACTTTTAGACATGGACGGATGAGGAATAAGTTCTGTCTGCATTAAGCCTGTAATTCTGCACAGGAAATCTTGCTCCACAGAATGGAGACGTACATGCTGAGAGTTTCATTCCACTTACATTTTATTTCATTCCCGTTCAGCACCTGGAGCTATTTGCATGTGTAAAAGAAGAAATGTGCTTAAGAGACCTGAGTTAAGGCCATTCTAGTCCTACCTCAAACACTACAACATGGAAGGAACACAAGAAAACAAGGTGATAGCAGCCATCTACTACTCAAGGTATGTGAACATTTTCAAAAGAAAAAGGGACCTGATGGTTTAAAGAGAAAATAGGTAGAAGTGAAGGTTTTTGAGGTTACAGTATTCTATAAAGGCATGTGGTGTGTGGGCACTACAATGATCTGACAGTGGCTTCCCATATGTAAAGCAGTATGTTGATAGCTGTCAGTATATATAGATCTGCTTTTAAATTGCTTGGGGCTTTTTCTAGAGAAATAATGTTAAGGGAGGGATTTGTGGTTTTTTTAAAGAAAATGAATTATTATGAAGGTGAATCATACTGATAAAAAGTTTTTTTTTTCCTAAATGAAATAAAAGATAATTAAATTCCAAATACACCATTTCCCCCTCTATTTTGGGGGTAGTTTATTTTGTCTGTGTGGCTTGTTTCCTCTCCTCCTGCCTCTTAATATTTCCACCTAGGAGCAGAGAAACCATAAAAGTAACACCCCCGCAAAACCTATGTTCTAAAGTCTCTTTTGCCCCTTTTCCTAATGAAGTAACATTCTATATAGTTGAACTTTTCTTGTAGAAATAATACTGAATTGCCTAGCAATTCCAGCCATGCTGTTGCAGAATAAATTATATTTAACTCTAGATATCTAGTGACAGAAAACAACTCACCAAAAACTATTTAGTAACAGCTCAAGATAATGTCCTAAGTTAGGAAACGTAGGAAAGCCTACTATGTAAAAAATATTAACCCCCAGTTTTGTTACATTTTTAGCTCACCTGAATGCTGATCAAATATTTAAGTGATACAAAATAAATCCTGTATTCAAACATGCCAAGAACACTCTGAGGGAAACCATAAAAACATGACTGTGCGCTGCAAATAATGACAGTCTGTCAGTCTCCCAATAGAAGAAAGAGTAAAGTCCTAAAACCAAACTTGCTGTAGAATGTGATTACTCATGTTCAGAGTGGGGGCAGTGAGGATTTTCCTGCACACCTGTATTTCACCCCAGGGGAAGCAATGCCTAAGGATAATTTTCCTCAGTCCCACAAGTGCCCCATACTTCTGTTCCTTGACTGCAAAAGCATAAATCCATTTTTCCTTCTTCAAATTTGTTCCTAAATTGATACCATCTCAATTACAGTGTACTTAGATGCTGCTCACCTCTTTATAAACAAGAATATATTTGTTTCAGCACCTTCCAAATTTCAGCTATTTGTTCATCATTTTGGAACTGTAAACAGTGTTTCAAAATTTAAACTCCCTAGCTGTAAAGATGAGCAATATTCCTTCTCAATGACCTTAAACCAATACAGACTTGGTGAATGGTATTCTATGTGAGGTACAGAAGGATCAGTTGTGATTTCCAGCACTTTATTCAGTTTTTGCTCTATTTTTTCCTATGTTTATGCAGTTTAGCACATAAGCTGAAACCCACTGTAAATACTGGCATTACTTTTCTGTACATGTCATAAAGCAGTTGAACATCTTGTGAGTGCAGAGCAGTGGTCTAATGAGATTGTTCCTTCTAGACTTTCACTTTCCTATGAGCAGAAGTGATTTCCCTGCTCAGCCTTCCCACTTTCTCCTATCTGCAGAGGAGAAAGGCTAAAAAGCAAGAAATGTTCAATAGATGGCATAACTTAACCCGGCATTACAGAAGCAGCAATTCAAAGGACTTGTGTCCTTTAACAGCAGGGGATCTCCTGGTGTGAAAAACTCAGTGATTTCCTCTTCCCTGAACTTTCAGGCAAAATTCCCCGAGGGATTTTTCACAGGAGATGATCCAGGTTGTGAGTAACAGGCAGTGAAACGGTCTCTTCAGCTCGTCACCGAGCAGCTTTTCTCACCCTGGTTGGGGTGTTTTTTCCATGGGTAGCTGCCTACTTGATTAATCTCATTTTCCCCTGGCCCTCAGCCTTTCCCTGGGCCGTCCAGCTGCGCAAACAAAGGGCAGGCGGACATTTTGGAGTGCTTCCTCCTGCAGTCCCTCTGGGCTGGGCCTGCCTTCGTCCTGCTCGTAAAACAACCCTCTTAACAGCCTCTGAGAAATGTGTCTGTTCTCTGTTGCTCAGATTGAGAAATCTCCACTGGGATCAACTTAAAAAAGCTGTTAGCTGCCACCTGGGAGCCCCCACTCACCGTGACCTCACTGCTATGGATGGAGTGGCTTCCTAAGGGTGCTTGTGCCAGTTCGGGAGGTCTGGAGTTAGTGTTATACCACAGTCTGAGCTTCTGTGTTCAGTCTCTGTATCATACATGAACAAGTTAAAAAATAGAGGCCATGTAAACACTTTAACAGACCTCTGAAAAGTAAACCTTGAGCCCTTAACGCGAATTGTCATTCTGCTAAGGGCTGTTCAGACACATGGAAACAGCACAGCTCTCATCCATGGAAACATCAAGTTGTGAACAGGGGAGACATTTCAGCCTTTGCAGCTTTTTGAGTTCGCTAAGAATGCTGAGCTCAGGGACACATCCTGCCTTTGCTCTGCACAGCCTGTCACACCCAGGCTGACCTGGAATTTTTCTGGGATGCTGCGTTTGTGCAGTAAGGACTCTGTGACTCTGGGATGTGCGATGAGCCTCACGCAGCCGGACCCGCCCGTACTGATAGGGGACAAGCACCACGTCAGGCACGTGTGACCCTTCAAATACTGTGGTAAAATTGTGCTAATTATTCACTTTAAAAAATGTGTCTGGAACATATCTGTTCTAAGGTTCATATTTCAAAAGGGAAAGTAATAAAATTTTAAAATAAAGTATAATAAATGTAGCACAACACAGGCAAGAAAAGATGAAATCCCTGAATTTTAAATTCATATATATTGCCCAAAAACGATACCAGAAATTTCCATAATAATTTGTTTCTGCAGAAAAAACACATTTTCAGACTTTATTGATTCCCCCAGTAAAAAGGTGTCAAAAAACTTATGATAGAAAGATAACAGATCGGTGTCCGAGGAGGGGGAAAAATCAGAATCCTGAAGGAATTCCGAGGGGTAAGAAGCAGAATTACTGCCAAAAAACATTGCTAAAAGATGTCAAATTGTTCCCAAAACAAAAAACAGCCTTTCAGCTGCTTCTCCGCAAGTATTACAGCTGCCATGTTCGCTAGGAAATAAAACACATTTCCTCAGCTGTTGTTCCCATTCTCCACACCACCCAACCTCGTCCCTGGTCCCCCCTCGGGGGGCCGTGTCGCCTTCGCGTTCCGAGCAAGGCGGGCCCTGCCGCCCTGCCGTCGCTTCCGGCAAGATGGCGACGCCCATGTCGTTACCGGGCGGGCGCCGATGGCGGCGGGTCCGGGGCTGCGCGGGCGGGCGCTGCCCGAGCTCCGGGACATGCTGCGGCGGCAGGAGCGGCTACTGGCGGACAGGTGAGGGCGGGCGGGGCAGGCAGCAGAGGACGAGCCGCTCCGTCCTGCGGGGACCGGAGAGGCCGCACGGACCGCCTGGCGCTCCGGCTGCCGGGAATGCGGGGAGTGCGTGCCCCTGTGGCCCGCAGCCCGCGGGCAGAGGGAGGGAGCAGCTCTGCTGTGAGGGAAGGCTGAGGGAACTGGAGTTGCTCAGCCTGGAGAAGAGGCTCCGGGGTGACATAATTGCGCCTTTCCAGTATATGAAGGGAGCTTACAGGAAAGATGGGACAAGACTATTTACAGAGGAATGGAGTGACAGAATAAGGGGGAGTGGCTTCACACTGAAAGAGAGTAGGTTTAGATTAGATATTAGGAAAAAATTCTTCCCTATGAGGGTGATGAGGCCCTGGCTAGGTTGCCCAGGGAAGCTATGGCTGCCCCACCCCTGGAAATGCCCAAGGCCAGGTTGGATGGGGCTTGGAGCAACCTGGGAATAGTGGAAGGTGTCCCTGCCCATGGCAGGGGGTGGGACTGGATGATGTTTAAAGTCCCTTCCAACCCAAACCATTCTGTAATTTTGTGATTCACTCAGTGAAAACACGTGGTTGGGTTGTAGGTGCTTTGCATCTTAACATTTTCAGAAATCTGTAATGTAAATAAGAAGCTGATATTAGAATGTAAACCCTCCCTCACTGG